GTCTCGCTACTCCATTGGACTGATTTGACACGTGCTTCAGAACGCGGTCACGCAGGGGCGTTCCCAAAGCGACTTCGACGCAGCTCGAGTTCCTGAAGGGGAACTACCTTTGTGTGACAAACAATCTAGTATCCTATTCATCTCCAGTATGCTGTAACTACTACAACCAGATTCACTGAGTTGAATTTGAGAACTGGACTGGTCTGAATCACCAATAAATCAATTTCAGCTGTAAAGCAGAGTATTTTTCAGCTCAGTTCCGATTAGGTGTTGATTGAATTCAGTTTAATAACAGTAGGCGCGTTTCCATTATAGATTTGCGCAAAACTTTGGCGAGGAGGTTATAGTACATTGAACAATGATCATATGACTTTTTACATACACCATGTGACCTGTAAATGCGAAAAAGCCGTTTCCATTGCAGTTTTGCGAATTATTCCTTTTTCGCATTGCCTGAAAAACCACCTCATGCGAGCGTAAAAACTTTTTTTGCGATATATGGGAGTTTTTGCGAAATTGACGAGTTTCCATTAAGCGTATTTTCAATTCACAATTTCAATTTGCGCAATTTGAAGGGTAATGGAAACACGCCTATTGTCACTGCTGCAATGTTCATAAATTATGAAACGACTTCAAACACAGCTCTCTAGAAGAATAATGCCATTATGGAGCTCAATTCAAGAGACCTCAACATTTTTTAATTACATTTTTAAATAGTCATCACCAGACCATTTATCATACTTTTTTTTTGGTGTTTTTGTTTTTCTGAAGCTCAAATCCCTTAGTCCTTATTTATTAAACATGACAGTGAGTAAACAAGAAATTCATTTATAGAGAACACCTCTTTTTAACACTATCAAAATGTTATTAATGTTAACATAATGTTAATGTTCATCTCAGACCTCTTTTGTATGGTGTCCGTAAGGTGACATGTTCGGTTCACTTAGTTTTGTCGTGGCCACGACATAATAACTCGTGGGAACGTGATAATATGTCGTGGCCACGAGATATTAATTTGAGGGAACGTCATATTAACTCGTGGGAACGTGATATTATGTCGTGGCCACGAGATCATTTTGTCGAGGTAACGACATACTTATGTCGTGGCCTCGAGATGCTATGTTGAGGGAACGACATCCATTTCTCGTGGCCACGACTTCTTATTTTGAGGGAACGACATATTTTTCTCGTGGCCACGAGTATAATGCGTAAACAAACCTGCATGACCATAGCAACCCGGGATTATCAAAAATAGATAAAAAATTTTTATTAACATTAAACAATTAATTTAATAGGCTATTTGTATATTATTATTGTTATTATTACATTAACTTATTAGGGCTATATTTTTATATTTATTGTGGCATGTCGAGCATTTACAGTAGGCTATTATTTACAAAAGTATTCAGAACGTTAAGTAAAGAGATCGAAATGAAGGGAAAAAACGAATATAAACAAATATAAAAATATAACCAATAATAGGCTAATAATAATAATAATAATATACAAATATTACGGGAAAAAGATGATCAGTTAATGGACTTACAAGACTGTAGGATGGATAAAAATGTTTTCTTGGAGGCCTATTTTATATTATGCACTTTATGTAACATTTATTCATGTCATGATAAACTTCATTTGAATGCTGACAATCGCACGTCATACAGCCAAGGCCTATATGGTTAATATAATAATATAATAATGTAATAATTTCGATAATAAATAATATAATAATTTCTTAATTCAAAATAAAATATTAATGAATCCATCTCTGATAATATAATAATATAATAATGTAATAATTTCTATAATAAATAATATAATAATTTCTTAATTCAAAATAAAATATTAATGAATCCATCTCTGATAATCCTGGGTTGCTATGTTCACGCAGGTTTGTTTACGCATTAAACTTGTGGCCACGAGAAATGGATGACGTTCCCTCAACATAAGAAGTCGTGGCCACGAGAAATGGATGACGTTCCCTAAACATAAGAAGTCGTGGCCATGAGAAATGGATGTCATTCCCTCAACATAAGAAGTCTTGGCCACGAGAAATGGATGACGTTCCCTCAACATAAGAAGTCGTGGCCATGAGAAATGGATGTCGTTCCCTCAACATAAGAAGTCTTGGCCACGAGAAATGGATGACGTTCCCTCAACATAAGAAGTCGTGGCCATGAGAAATGGATGACGTTCCATCAACATAAGGATGTCGTTACCTCGACAAAATGATCTCGTGGCCACGACATAATATCACGTTCCCACGAGTTAATATGACGTTCCCTCAAATTAATATCTCGTGGCCACGACATAATATCACGTTCCCACGAGTTAATATGACGTTCCCTCAAATTAATATCTCGTGGCCACGACATATTATCACGATCCCACGAGTTATTATGTCGTGGCCACGAAAAAACTAAGTGAACCGAACATGTCACCTTACGGGCACCGTACTTTTGTGTTAAAACAGCAGAAAAGTTATTAACCTCTTTATGTGTGGCAACATTAAGAACATGGGCTTGCACATATGGCCCATCTGAGAGAATTTAAAACCACAGGTAATAAAAGATGCTTGAGGTGTTGAAAATGACCGAGGGATTTTCCCAAACAGGTCTGCACTCCACACCCAGATTTACAACTTCCTCACAACACATATTAACAGGGCTGGCAGTAAATGCCACATAAGCTACAGTATTAACACATGCCGAATGTGGACGTGTGTATGAGTGTGTACATTTAAAATGCTCACATGTGTTATTTGTAGGGATGTAACGATTCACTCAACTCGCGATTCGATTCGATTCACGATTTTGATTTCACGGTTCGATTTTCTCACAATTTTTTTTTACAAAATGAGATTGAAGACATTATACAGTAAATGAAAAGGTGTTGCTTTATTAGGCTATTGCTGCACGTTTCTTTGTGAAATTGAAATATAACAAAAATAAATTGAAATTTTAAAACAAACCCCAAATCAAACAAGTTACACAAATAAAAGAAATCTCTTAATATGAACAAACTAAGGCTTTGCCTGTGCTCTTTCCATTTAAAATTAGAGGCAACCACTGGATTTTAATCATGATCCAAAAAAAGATGCAGCATACATGCAGCATGAGTAGTTTTTAATCTAATTTAGACTGTATAATTTCGAAATTTGAAGCAAAAACAGAATGGTCTGACTTTAGTGTTGTGAAACTATACTACATAAAACATCTGAACGAAACAGCAAACGAGCTGAATGAGATGCAGATTCCCTCTCTAGCCAGGTTTCCATCCAAGGATTTTTTATGAAAAAATATTTAGCGCTTCAAAATTTTTACTGATATAGTTGATGGAAATTATCGATAAAATTTCTCATGTGTCGACATTATCTTTTTCCGTTTAACTTTAGCGCATAAATTCTATATCGATACTTCAAATGTCGCAAAAATTTTTTAGAAACACTTTTTGTCGAGAAAAGGGGCTTTAACGCAAATAAATGTGGTGTCACGTGGCAGAATTAGCCTATATCCAGCGTCCATGGTCATGGTGTTGCTCACGTTAAAGCACCCTTTCCCTGTAGTTCAAAAGCGCATTAAATCATATTCATATTATTAAATTGCATCTAAAATTATTTTATATTTGGTAAGAAAAAGACAAGTTACCTCTCAAACATACTTATCTTAATTTGATGTTCCTTTAGTAGCCTACATTTACATTATTTTTTACACTGCACTGCTCAGTTTAAATAACCTGTAGTCCGTGCCGTTCAGCGTGATCACCATACCCCCGTGACATTACTATGCCAAGCACATTTTGTTTTACGTGGATATTGGAACGCGAAGTACAAACTTTTTAATTAATTAGTTTTGGCCTGTTAGTAGCTTCTTATATATTTTTATTTCTGTTCTGTTCTACCGTTAAATTTAAAGTAGGCCTATTTGTTGTGGACTGAGGGGAACTAAAATAGCATGGTTTTCAATGTTGGCTGACTGTATTTTATTATGACAATGAACAGGCTGCGTTGTCCAGTTAGTAATGCTTAACTGCGCGAGTGAGGCACCGGCACGATCACTTGTTTTTTTTTTTTTCTTTTAAAAGTGGAAACAACTTACACCGTCTACACCAGACGCGAGCGGTGCGGCAATTGTCGCGTCAGGTGTAGACACGGTGTTACTATACTCCTTAATTTGTGGTCATGTGAGTAAGACATTATTCAAAACTATTCTAAATATTCCTTTATTTGTGATTCACAATAAAAACAAATCATTGTGGTTTTGTAAAATAAAGGAAACAAACAGGATGCCGCTTTCTTAAGAGCTCAAGGGCAATTTTTTTTTGTGATACACCAAAACTTATGCGACAATTCGTTTTTTTAGGGATGACATCATCACGCACAGCATTTTATCGGTAAAAGGCCAGTTGGATGGAAACACGCTGTAGACAGCAATTTTCGCAAAGTTTTTTTTACGCATATTCTCTTTATTGATAACAAAACAGCGCAAAAACTGGATGGAAACTTGGCTTCTGACAGCAGGTGGTGCTCATGAACAGCAATAGCCGCGTTTCCACTGTCGGGCCAAAAGCGGGCATGCTAGTGCGTGCCAGGGACAGTCGCGTTTCCACTGTCACTTCTGGGGCTTGATCGTGCCTCGTCGGTGCTTCCTCGGCCAGCTGGGGCTAGAGGAGTGGTTATGAACAAAGGCGGAGTTTCTCCGCGTCTGGAGAGCGTCAGCGCCGCGGATCATTTCAGAAAGTTAACAGCTATAACATCAGCATTAAAGACTTTTAAAATAATTTTAGTTCAAAACTCACTTCCAGACAGCAGCGAGTGTTTGAAATAACTTGATCCGATGTGGATTATGATCGCATACAAGGCAGAAATATTTATAAGCGATGCAAAAGACTATGCACGCTAGCCATTAACGTTACCATAGTAAACATGGTAAATACGACCTCTTGAAGAAATCAGATGTCAGCTTCTTACAGGTATTCTCTATCACAATCGTGTATTTTGTAAAGGGCGTGTTTTAGTGAAGCGCAGCGGAGCTTCTGGCCCGACGGTGGAAACGCAGCGTGATTTTGGCCTTGGTGCTACAGGTCCGAGGCTATTAGCCCCGCCCACCCCATTTAAAGCACTGGCCCTACAGTGGAAAAGCGGCTATTGATACAGTGTTTCCTGGGTTACCGCTGTAAACAAAGCAGAGCTGCGCTTATGAACACTACTTTAATATGCATTGTTCAGATGCAAGATGAAAAGAAAATACCATGTAAACTTTTCTAAAGATAGTCAGTTGCCCTCAGAGATACATTCTTATAAATTCCTACTCCAATTGTATCGCGATTTGTTTGGCATCTCAACCGATCTGAATCGTCACATATTTGAATCGATTTTCGACCGGCTCGCGGTTAATCGTTACATCCCTAGTTATTTGCTTGGGTTTCATAAAGAATGGTTGCAACTTACTTGTCCAGAAAGATCTATATAATATGGTTCTCCTTTTTGACCTTTTTGACCAGAGAGTCCCTAAAATCAAGAGGAAAAAAAAAATTGTAAATGAAAACTGATCTATACTTTATGAATGACATCACTAAATTTTCACAGCTACGCTCATGGACAAAATAACAGGACAAAAAGTATTACACTAATAAGCAATGAGCATGCAACGTGTCAAAATAAAAATTAAGTTTACATGTCAGTGTCTGGTGCATTGAGTTTTTTATAATTGGTTATTGAAATTGTGTTATAATAAAAATGTTTGTATAACATTATTTAATTAAATTTTAAATAAAGAAATATATGTGATCCTCAAAAATAAATAAAGAATTCAACTGGCTTTTGATAAGATGATTTGTTTCTTTAGTAAGTGAAATGTCTACTATTATTCAATTTGGTAAATATTATATGCTACAATCTTCTTGAGATGCAGAAAAACCCCTCAAACTTACAGGAGCACCGGGAAGACCAGGAAATCCATCACGGGCTCTGTCACCTGGGTCACCTCGTGTGCCATTACAGCCATCCAAACCTAGAGGTCCCCTGGGCCCCTCCTGACCTGGGTGTCCCTGCACAGGATTGTAGTTTAGTTTACCATTTTCTGTAAAGGGTGAAACTATAGTAAGAGACAAGAACTGTGTACTCACTGGAACTCCATCATTACCAGAAAACCCAGGAACACCCATTGGGCCCTGTCAAAAAATTAATAAAACACACAAAGGCATTTTGTACCGTCATGTACACTATGCATTGTTTCCTGTATTTAGATCTAATATGAAGGCACATTTCCTGTATTTAGATCTAATATGAAGGCATACATATTTGTAAACATTTCATTACATTCACAAAGTATAGAGAATAAAAACAAATAATGCCCCTCCATAAAATCTGACCTTATCTCCATTTCGTCCAGGGGGGCCTTTGCGTCCTACATGGCCATTTTCTCCTTTGGGCCCAACTGGCCCCGGGGCCCCAATAATACCCTCAGGACCAATGCTACCCATCTGTCCAGGTTCCCCAGGTTGACCCTGAAAGGAGACAAAAATGGATATAAGAGATAGAAGTACAGAGCCTTCCTAAAATCAATCACTTTGCTGTATTCCTCATTTGTACAGTTGCTTAGGATAAAAGCATCTGCTAGATGAATAAATAAAAATTAGGGCTGTAAAATCGATTAATCATGATTAATCACATCCAAAATAAAAGTTTGTGTTTACATAATATGTGTGTGTGTGTGTACTGTGTATATTTACATTTATATATAAACACACACACATACATTTAACATAACAAATCATACATAAATATAAATATATAATTATTTCTTAAATATATACACACACGTATGTGTGTTTTTATATACTGTACATATAAATTGTTACAATGTCCAGCTGGAGTGCCCATGAGCTCCGCTAGAGGCCACTCAACCCCGGACTCCATTTCCCATAACCCTCTGCCTAGGAACTCGTTATTGGACTTCAGCTGTTTCCAATCAGGAGGACTAGACAGGTTACACTCACACACATGGCTGAGTATTGTTAACCTGTATCGCCATTGTGTTTTCTGTGTTTCTTACCTGTGTTTCCTTGCCTTGTCTTGGCGTGTTTTTGACCTTGGACTGTTTACGTTGTTTTTTGATCGTTTGCTGCCTGTCCTGACCATTGCCTGTTTTGTGGTTTTCTCTTTTGCCTGTGCTTTGGATGTTACTGTTTTGCTGGTGTTTTACCCTGCCTGTTCTGAATACACTCAATGAAATAAAGCCTGCAGATGGATCCTCAACTCCGTTGTCACGCCTCCTATTAGCGGTGCTCCGTCTCTTATTGCCTTGTTTATCTAAAAGTGTTCTTTTCCTTTAAAACTAGCCAACAAGCCATATGTGTTGACTGTGAAATACAGACTTTAATAATATGCATTTATGGTAATTACTAAATTTTCGTCTCAATCCATGTTCATATTTACTGCAAACAATGCGCCATTACTTTAATTCTTCGCTTGCAGCGCAGCAATAGACTTGGTGCGGAATCGATCTCTGCACTGCTGCAGACGCGCCGCTACTGGAACGCACTGCCGGACCATAACCGTGTGCAGTGAACGCTTTATTAATCCGTTAACGTGAGCGCGGAAAAAATACACACCGCAAACGCACTGCAAATCTTTAGTGACTATGTGACACTGCCTCGACTGTGCAAGTGACAATTCCTGTGTCAACTGCGCAGCGTGCAGCTCGCTTACAGACAGACGCGATGTGTGGTGATTTGAAGCCAATTGCGTATTTTGAGAGAGAAAGAGAGAGAGCGCGCGGTGATTCACTCATGCTGTTTGTGAAATTACGTCTTACACAAGGTTTTCAAATTACTTTATAAGTTATTTAATGAAAAAGCATTATAATTATTTCACCCACGCCGGACAGGGACAGAGACTGAGACGGTGTTGCTGCATGTCGTGCCAAACCTCTCACGGCAGCGTCATCAGCTTGAGATCGGTTTTTTAGAGACCGCCGACCAAACATCCCAACGTGATTATCGGCCGATAGTGATCGGTAGCCGATCAATCGGAGCACCCCTACCTCCTATGTTAAATAAATATACACAGTACACACATATATTATGTAAACAAACTTTTATTTTCATTAATCATATATATATATA